TCTTATCTACTCACTATCAATTACCACTGAAATCGCTTGTCACTCATTCTGCCTCAGTTCTAGTTACGGTGACGTATGCTAGCCTCAGTCGTTTACACTCTTTCTCTCCGGAGTGTGGGACCGCAGCTAACAATTATCTCCGTATGCATTTCATTCTCAGGAATAGCCTAGCCTCCCCAGCGTATACGCCCCATCTGCTGTCCTTAACATCAATCAATTTATTCACGGATGTAGAAGACTGGAAACTACTTCAGAAATAATCACGACGAAAATTTTAACAAAATTACGCAATAACAACAAGGCACGAAAACAACGAGTAAACACAATGAATCCGAAATACACCAATTGCTATGACACACCACACGTGTATACAAATAGTACAAACAACCTCGCCGATCATGTCTTGGTGGAATTCCTTTGAAGAATTGCAGGACTTACACCAGTACGCCTACAACCCTTCTCAGGTTGACGATTGTAATTTGTGGAATGTACGGACACAAACAAGATTAACCAACAATTACAATAATTGGAACTCACACAATTATTTAACACAAACATATGTACAATCAACACATCAAATGTTGTGGATTCTGGCACGGCAAACTACCCTTGAAGAACTGTAGGACTTACAGCAGTACGCCTACATTCCTTCTCAGGTTGATGATCCAAGTGGAAGTCGTCCGGACACAAACAGAATTACCAACAGATAGATGAAAGATGATATCAATTCAGTATATGCAATATAAACATATGTACAAAATCACACACCGAGCACATTGGACCGTTCATTGATGCGCTACCCTTTGAAGAACTGTAGGACTTACAGCAGTACGCCTACAACCCTCCTCAGGTTGACGCCCCAGGCTGGAAAATCGTCGCAGAGTTCATTTGCTGACTTCCTTATTTCATCTATATCCTAAAATCTGAACGGCAACTCGCCCATGTCATTGTATCGTAGAATATAGACGACTAATAGACACACAACATATCTGATCAACCAAGCGCAGAAACAGAGTAATTTACACCAAAGATAATAACATTCAAATAGTAACTTGAAACTAGAAATGCCTTTATTCGTGCAAGTCAATTTAACAATTACTCTATCGTTTACACTTGGCTTATCCTCACTAAACTGACCATTGATATTCGTCCTTTCAAACGAACTGATACTAGCATAGTCATTGCACAAGATACTTGAGTTGATGGGTGTCTGTTTCATTGTGAATGACAGCACCAACGACGACTAATTGATATCAGTTGATGAAGTTAGCGGTGGATCAAAAGCTGTTGTTGCTCGACTTTCAGAAATTTGTCTACCTGCAAGACCACCACCACTGCTGTCTTTTACTATTAGCTCTAGTTTAGCACTATCATGTGATGATAGGTGGGCTACACGCTGATCAATTACACTGACGGTTTGACAAGTATGCATGCCTTCTGCAACTGCATTTAATTCTACTTCACGTTCAAGTTGTACAGAACCTTTATTTAACTTAGCGGTAGTAGGCATATCCCTCATCTTATCATGATCAACCAAAGAGAAATGTGCAGTATCATGATCATTATCACAAATATTCAATTCACCGTCATATACCTGGTCGAATTCATCATTTTCAATCTCTTTAATAACAGCAGTAGATGATTTGGTTTCTTCCTCATAAATCCTTAAATGTTTTATACCTTTACTCTGACTAGTAATATCTTGAAAACTTGTGGAGCCCGAACTGGACTCTGAAACTATAACTCTCTTCTTCTTAACAAACTGCGGGGTCATATGTGACACTCTATTCAACAATGGCTTACCAGTTGCAACTACAGGCTCCTTCACTGCACCATTATCGTCACACGGTTCGGAGTCCGACCTCAGAGCACAACCAAAACATAAAAACAGAATTATTCTTTGCTAAAATCTCGGGGAGGGGAGCAGCGGTGCAGGACAGGAAAAAATTCCGGGAAGCCAGCCAGCTGATGTATCTCCTTTCGTTGAAGGCAGAAACGGGCATTTTTCCCTTCACGTTTTCAGTGGAACATAGGACTTCAAGCTAGAAGCTTGAAGTTTCTGTAGCAGTGTTTATTTTTACAGGATGGGGTTGCTTTGCTTCTGGCTGAGTGAGGTAAAGGAGTGCGTTGGCCGGGGATCGGACCCCGGACCATATGCATGGTCGGCAAACGTCCTAACCGCTGTGCCACCGACGCGAAGAAACGGGCATAGGGACTTGAAATGTTCGCACAACATATGATGTTTGAAAGACTGCCCTGGTTACCGAATAAGTGGGAAAATAAGCATAGGAGTGCCGGGAATCAGAGACAGCATGTGACAGCAAGATTCAACCCACAAGGGAGGATGGGCACAATTACCGAATGTTACGCACCTACAAGTAACTCAGAGTAAAAGGAGAAAGAGGATTTCTACAGAAAACTGCAGACTATGGTGAGTTACATCCCAGATAACCACATCAGAATCCTATTGGGTGATGTGAGTGCTAAACTGGGAGCAGGAAATACAGGGAGAGAACTTTTAGAAACCGACTTTTCTATCAAAACGATCCCTTAAATTACTGAACGATGACCTAAACTACCATTGGAGAACGATGGTGTTTATGAACTTTCGTCTCCGAAAGCACGGCAGAGGACAGGGGAAGAGGAGGATACCTATTCAAACAAACGGAAGAGCGTTCAACATTTATTAGATAAAGAAGGCCTTATGGGTCGCATAAAGACATATAGATCCTACTTGTTTTCTCTTTCCATCCTTCTGAGCTCCTTAATCAATTACGCCACCTCTGTAGCCATGTGATGCTGTATTGTAGACACCCTACAAACTCACCATGCGTTGAGAGGCTCTCAGGTAAATGAATGATAACGGGGAATTATTCGCAGAAGTTTTTGTTTTCGATGATTTGGTGATCGAAGGCAACGTGTAAAATCACAAGGATATATTCAAAGCAGCAAAGATTTCACCTGACGGACAGACCACAAACCAGACTGATTTCATCATAATGCTGCTCAAGGAAGTAGAGACACTGCCAGCCTACTGGACACAAAGTCGAGAATGGGAGCAGATGTGGACTCAGAACATCATCTAGATCAAGGAACCTCCAAATTGAAACTGAAATCTCTGAAAATAAATGGAGACATGCCACCGTAATTCAAGTTCAGCATTCAGAAAATGGACTAAGAGACGGAACTGCAAGGGATACCTTCACTGCAGGTCAGGCCAGGGAGAAGTCAGAGACACGACGTGGAATCATTGAGGAGACCTGCGTCGAAGAATATTGGAACTCCCTGGAAGTGATATTTATAGAAATGTGTAGATCTGCTGTCAAGGAACTTATCCATAAGTTCTTATTTTCATGAAGACGCTCCGCACCGATAAAAACTATGTACTTTCTTCGACTTTAACTCCAAAACACCACTATTGTAAGAAGGAAGCTGTATTGTTTGGTAATTAAAGCGAATAATGATACAAGTTTTATTAATTTTCGTTAGTCTTCGTCGAACTTGTACACGATCGAACCATTCGCGCCTTCGAGTTGCCCACCAATGGCTACCAGTTCCCAAAACAAATGTTCAATTTTCATCTCCATCGACGGCTGCTTTGAAATAAATAGAATCGTAAAGTGAAGGAATATATCTCAACATTTAACCGTGAGCTAAATTAATAGAGATGCATTGTAAAACGAACGACAGTCCAATGCTCAGATTGACAATAGAAGGAGAAGCTGAATTCAATGAACACTTCTATGAATAAGGAAGTGAAGATTAGCTCTAGAGGAGATAAAAGTGAATTCTAAGAAACACTGACCGGCAGCTGAAGCATGACAAGGTGGCCATAGGTAAAAGAGACCTAAGACATCACTCCAGACAATCGAATCTCTATCCAAGAAAACATCAACGCTGATGGAACCTATTAAAGTAGTCAAGGGAGGCCAATTTCGAAGGAGAAGAGACAAATAAAACAATGGGCTGATAACTCCCAAGGACTACTCAGTCGGCTGTCACCTGGAAGTCGTCCAGAAATACCACCGATGGCTACAGAAATGCCAGTGGACACCAGTTGTCCGAAAACCAGAAGTCCTGAATGCGATCAGACTACTGAAAGAATAGGTGTGTAGGGCCAGGAGCAGTCCTTCATGGAGGATAGTACTGTGCAGAGGCTTGTGCTAATTATGGCATGGCCATATTTGTGGTTTTGAAATGCAACGTCCATACTCAGATGACCGAATGTTGTCCGAAAAACCACGTTAAAAACGATTAATAAAACAAACAATGTCACATTTATAGAAACATGTAACAGAATAGTGTCTGTTTATCTACATAGCTCATGCTCTAGCTGATGTATCACGAAAATAAAACCCTGGGTAGGCCTACATGATTTCCGTCAAGTAAAATTACACCCGCTTCATGTGTGCCATCTAACCCACCAACAGATGTCCTACAAGAAACTATGAATACTCACTGGCTCACAAGTACCACAACAGACACCTACCAAGAACAACTACTCATGCGTTCCTAGAGGTAATTTCCCTCAGACTGTGGAAATTTGCGCAGTCTGATGACTGAAATTTTGACCTTCATCCTAACTAAGAGTTAGAGCTGTTTTGGTTGTAGCACCGTTTCAGCGGTCATTTGTGGACCAAGTTTGATTTGTTGACGTACGCTAATGTGAACGTGTGCCTCATAATCGGTATCCATCTTCTGTTCCCGACAACGCTTAGGATGGTAAATCAGGGCGAAGTGGCTTTAATTCTTGCATCCGAACTCATATCTGTGCCATGTATTAGCTTGCGCCTTCATGCAAAGTTGAGAATAGAATTGACCATTCGTCTCACCAAGTAAGACAGTGCATGTTGTTCCATTGACTATGCCGATGACCTTTCGCATAAATCAGAGCCGACTGGAATGATAAGTGTAGGTGGTAGACATATGCTGCTGCAGGAAGTAGACTTTGGACCAGGTTCAATATCACATCAAATTTCAAGGTACTCTACCTATATTTATTCAAGACTTTCGTGCTAACTGTCAAATACTGACTGCACTTCTGCTTCCTTTCGTTTTGAAACTTTTACATTCGCAAGGAGATTCCACAAAGAATCAATTGATTGCTTAATATTCTGAGTGAAGCTGAATGGTTCTGTCAAGTGATTTATTTCAAGAATTGAAACCTGTTTACATTTGTCATCTACAACAAAGTGAGATTAGCTCATACGTTGGGAATCCAACAACGTACACCCTTAAACTTTCTTTATCGGTCATCATCTAATCGACAGGATTTTCCACAGACCACTGGGTTGTTTGATTTCTTAAGCGAGGTCGAATATCAGCTGTACACACTTTTGGCGGCAATTCGATTCAACTTATCCCGCCTGACTGGAGATGGAAGTCCAACGGAGAGGTCTGCGTTTGTTAAACACATATGGGCCAGTGGAATTAAAAAAGGTATGAGTCAATTGCATGATACTTCATGTGTAATCAGACGGCTACTAAGCCAGGTGTTAACACGCATTCCAAACCATCGCCAGTTGGAACTGTCCAAAAGCCTGTGAAAACTGCTAACCAGCCAAAGATCCTAAAATATTCTGTTTATGTGGATCCTGTAGAGGACAAATGTCAACACTGTGGCAGTCAGCGACCGAAAAAGTCTGGAGAACAGGTGAAGGAAACGAAAGAGATGTCTGTTCAGGTGAATCGGACAGATCTGAATGAATTGTTGTGTTCAGGTTTGTATCTTGCCGTATCACCAACAAAATCTAGTTGATCCATCTTCAGAATACTGGGAATCTATTGCTGAGGAACGACGAGTAGCCCTGAAAGAGACTTTGGATGAGAACAAACAGGTACGCTTGAGATTCCATAGTTTACGATTGAATTTATAGTTATGTGAATTGGTTGAGAAGCTGAATCTGGAGATTGACAGACTAAATTCTCTGATTGCTCAGAAGGAGTCTACTAAAAAAGCTTAACAAGATCTATCGTGATCACAAAGGAGTTTCTATATGGATATCAAGATAGTGAAGTAACGCATGGCTTATAAATACTTGCAACTTTGTATTTGTGATGTTTTGTAACATTTGATGTACATAAACTCTTACTTTCGGCGTTTCTACCCATAGTTATTGATGGTGATTAGTGTAACAGTGGTTAGTGGGATAGAGGGCAGAGGTTGCTGTAAACTTGACTTTAAAAAAGGAAGTAATAATTTGTGCTGTAGACAAAGTTACTGTCTAATTCCACCGATGGAGCTGTTACTACTGGATCAGGGGATGAGTTTTAGTTGTTGACCATTATGTCAGAGAATTTAAATGTCACACGTATTTCATTCGTCCGTGGTTTGAGCACCCTTTGGTGATCTAGAGGTAGAGATGAAATTAGAAAAGTCAATCCCTCAACCATCCTTTAATATACGGTATTTCAAAATGAAGTCGCCTCTCCTCCTTCGGTAAGATAATGGGGAGACATTTAAATGATTCATCTTCTTGTTATGAGGAAGGTATGAGATGCCACTGACTAGTTCGGTTCCTACCCTCTGTGTACCACTTTCTTGAAGCATGGAGACGCTGCTGTATGTAGTATTCTAGAAAGGCTTAACATGTATTGCATAGTTTACCTGGAACATAGACTCATGTAATCGTTTGAAAGCCGTGCAAAGTGCTCATAGCATCCAAAAAGCGTTAGCTGTGGCTGTATTACAATTTGCAGTTGTTTGTCAAGCCATGGCTGACAATAGTTCCTGAGTCCTTTTGATCCTTAATACCTGGAAGTTATGTGTCCCCGAGGTTGTACAACTTGTAAGACCTCTAATAAGCCAGAGGTCTCACAAGTTGCATTACCGCGATTTCCTTGGAACTAATTTCCAGGCTCCAGAGGTCCGATCATTCAGCTAATTTACTTACATCGTTTTGTGAGACCGACCTATCATTGTTATTATTTACAGTTTTCCATATCTTAATATCGTCCGCAAATAATAGTGAAGATGAGGTAGGAATTCTCGAAAGTCCGCTTACGTATAATAGGAATATCAGGGGACCTAGTACATTCGCTTGAGGTACTCAAATCAATACTGTTTTCTACCCTGACAATAAGTCATTAACGCCTGTCGTTTGCCTTCTGTGCATTAGGCAATTCCCAAACCACTGACACAGGCCTTGGTCTAATCCAAAACCTTTTAGAAGGAGAGCAAAGTGGTGTCGTCAATCGAATGCCATACTAAGATCGATAGAAACGACGTCATACAAGTTTTTTCTTAAGCTGTGCAGTCGTAATTATATTTCACAAAGAATTCATAAGACAACCATTCAGTTACAGTCCTCGAAATCGTATTGCCTAATGTGATTTATCGTCTAGAAGGGTTGACTAACCGGAGATTAGAAATGGGGCAGAAGTTGAGATGACGTAATAAAAGTTGGGAAATGACTGATCAATATGATTCTGTAAGGTGGACAAGAGCTAGCGGAAAAACGATGAAGTGCTTTTGTGAAATCCGTATGAAAACGCACTGTTATTAATAAACGGTTATAGAGTGATAATAAAATAAGAATGATGAGAATAATAATAGTAAACTTACATAATATGAAAGGAAGCACAGTCATAGTGAGGACGTCATTTTGTCGATGGTAGGGCAGTGAGGGGATGTATGTGGGGCTTTTGAATGCAGAGGTCCGGTTTCAGACCCCGAGTAGCCAGTGATTCAGCTATGTGCGGATGGCACACTCGAAGTCCTTTCGTACAATATTAAGGGACTGTTAATATATGTGTAAAACTTGGGCACTATGGAATTAAGGGACTGTGTGTATCACTGTATTACATTCATACGGTAAGGGGTGTTCGATATCCAGATTTGACAGGGTGTTTGAGGACACGGCTGGTAGTATTCTTCTTTACTCCTTTGGCTCTCTAGCCATACTGGGCAGAGTTCCAGGATACGTTTAATGACTTGACGTTTCGTACGGCTGATAAACTTTGTTCCACACGTGCAAGTAAACTAATAAATACACATTGAGGTGGCCTAGAACGGTATGTTGTCCATAACGTTAGACTAGATTAATTGTCTGTTGGAGAATGTGATGCGTAAGGTGGCTGCTTGAAATGTCTTCTTCAAACATTTAGAAAGGCGGTTACTAAGAATTTCTGCTTCGATATCACCTTTGAATTCCAGGTGCATGAAGGGAGTTTTCTTAGGAACAGTTGTGATTTCTGGTGACAGAGGCCTTTCAGTCATGTTTTTGTCTATTAATCTTGGTGGATACCCGTCCTCTGGCAAGATTTCAAGTAATGAATTTAACTCCTCTATCGTGTCTTCCGGACGGATTTTTGGAATCCTTGAGCATAATGTATGTGCTAGGTTTTTAGTGGGACGAAGCTGTGGAAGCCGGTGAACTGTCCCTTCCATGTAGGCTTGTGATATATTGATTTCTGGATCGTGAATTCTTGTCTTCTGGTATGGGAATGGGAATGCCATGTTTGATTCACGTTCTAAGGCGAATTTTATTGATGGGTGTGCCTCGTTGAGGGTTTTGAGTAGGTAACTCTAAATCAACCTTTTCATCACAAATTATAACCGTGTCTTCTACGTATCTCTCATGTAGGTGCAGTTGATTGGTCAAAGGATCAAGGATGTTGTTTTCGAGGCTCGCCATGAAGCAGTCATTTAGGAGAGGGCCTTGACGTGACCCCATAGCTACATCATCTTTCTGTACATAAAACTGTTCACTGAATATGAACTGGAGATTAAATATATATCTGAGGAGTAATTCCTCCATGTAGTTGATGCAAAGTTGGTTACGACGTAGTCACAGATGAAGTATGTTGTCTTGGTCTGTGGGATGCTTGTGAAAGGAGAGGTGACATCTAGTAAAACTATTTGTCTTTCAAACACGTTGATGTCTTTCACTAAATCGATGAAGTCGATTGTATCACTAAGGCTATACTTTGTCATATGTCTTCTTACCGGTTCTAGGACATTTGCTATTCACTTTGCAATCTGATGATATGGTGAGTTGACTGTGTCTATGATAGGCTGAAGTGGAACATTCTTCTGATGCACTTCAGGCAATCCATATGGTCTCGGATATGACAAAACTGCATGGCTTTATTTGTTTATATGCCTCCGATGTCGTGGCTGAATCTTCTTTCAGTCTCTTCAGCAGTTTTGTAAGGAGGTTTTTATGTTTATTTTCCGTTGTGTCTTTCTGGTTAGGTGGTTTGAGGAATTAGAAGTTATGTTATAGTATGTTAGTTTCTCCATATAGTCGGATCTGTTCATTACCGCGGTCTCATTGTCGTTGTCAGGAAGGACGAGGATTATGTCTTTATTTTCTTGAAGTTGTTTTCTGTGTCTCTTGGTCAGCAGATAACGATAACTCGTCGTGTATGAATGTACTTGTAGCAGCTGTCGACAATTGGGGCTTCGAAATGTTCGAGATCTTTTTCAGAAGTAGGTGACAAGTCAAATGTCTATGAGATTGAATTCTCGAACTGGATCTTGGTTTGTAATTCGTTGATTTTATTTGATACATTGCAAAATTTCAGACCAAGTTATAAGACTTAGATTTGAATAGGATTGAGAGGAATATTCGAAAAGTTCAAGACATCTTCTTCAGGATTCTGTGGAATCGACGAGAGAGGGCTTCAGGTGGTTTCAGGGAAGTAGTATCACCTCAGTGTTTTCGTATGAAATTGGATACATAATCCTGAAACGTTTGTTGTTCATTACCAGATAGTTCATACGAAGCATGGGTTCTTTTTGATATGTTTCGTTCGAGATCGAGTAGGCGTGATTAGATGACGTCGATGTTATTTAATGTATGACGTTTTAATGTCTTTGAATTAGGGCGAATGTGATTCTGACAGAGATTTTCCCAATACTGTTCTGGATACTCATGCTCATCGATGCGTCGCTTCAGAAAATCAAGCACTATCAGTGTAAGCTGTCTTTTGAAACAGGTATACAAGCTAGTGGATGTTAATTCCTCCCAATTGATCTGTGGGGCATTAAAGTCACCTACTGTTACACACTTGTTTCTGCCAATCCATGCCCTGAGGTGATTTAGTACGAAGTCATCAGCTGGACTGGCAGGTCTTCCATAAATAACCGTAGTCGTCATAGTGCCCATGCTCAAGTTATTAAGGCAGCTCGCGGCTTCACTAGTGCCTCTGTCGTGCGCTTCTGACAACGTTGACCTATTTTCTATGTCATCCCGAATGCGTAGAGGAATCCCACCACCTTTCCGACTAAGTACTCTGTCTGCTGTAATGCAGATGTACCCAGGTGTGAGTGGAGTTAAGTCTACACACTAACAACCACTTTTCAGTGACAGCAATCACATGAGATTGTAGTCTTTCAGATAATGCTTCTAATTCTGGGAACTTATTCCTAAAACTACACGCGTTCGTGTAGCATACTGAGAGACTTACAAGTTCATCTGACTTATGAGTAGAGGTCTCGTCAACATAGGTATCCGAGACCTCACTACTCGGAAGTCCAATAGTTTAAGGTCTTATCCAAGTCGGGCCTTTAATTGTGCCATGGGCTCTCGTATTTTAATTCTATCTTTCAACGGCCAAGCAAGTCTTATTCTCAACATTTTATCCTTGATCTCAAAAGCCTTTTGAGAATAGTGTTCTTGTTCATCACGTTCGTCAGTACTCTCTTGAGCAGTCATCGAAAGTTTTCCGTAGCACTGACACTTATTTGACCGATCCTGATGTTCTTTATAATATGGACTCCATGTGTCTTTTCAGGGAGTGATTCACGACTGGTGGAGCTAACCTCCCCGAGATCAAATTATTGTTTAATTTCCGTTTTCAATGCATAGGATGTACTATCTTTGAATCTGTTTTTGGGAAGTGTACAGCATAATTTGAATACTTTGCTTGACCTAAAGGCGGTATTCGATTCTGTCGACCGAGAGGTACTATGGCGATGCTTGGCTTTTAGAGGAATACCGAGAAAATATATTGCACTGATCAAGGCACTCTACTCGAACTCATGCAGCCAGGTGCAGGCTTACGGGGAGTTGTCATCTGAAGTGGTGACAACTAGTGATGTCCGCTAAGGATGCCCACTATCTCCGTTTCTGTTTAATTTAATCATAGATGTA